AAAAAAAAAAATAAATCAGGAATGCTTTTTTGTTTTTTAACAGACTGTTCAGGCACAAAAACAAAACCGCATTTCCAGTAAGTGACAGCATCATAAAAAATATTAACATTGTCAGTGTTTGCTTTTCTTTGACTTCTTGTGAGATCTGTGAGGAGAACGGGACTGAGACCTGGATTTTTTCCCTGACTTTTTAGGGGATCTGGATCGTGATCTTCTCGATCTTTTGGGTGTCCTGGAGCCAGATGGTGACCTGCAGTAAAAACAAGGTTTTACATCAAACACCAATTGATAACAGCATCTTTTTCTGCAGTAATTTGGCATTCACTTATTGATCCAAAGAAAATATTTTTCCCAAGTAAGGGAAAGTAAGAGAATGATATCTTGCTTTGGAGAAAAAGTCAATCCTTGCACTGGCAGGTTTTTAGAGGATTTTGAGCTTAACTATGCTTAGAATCCACAAGAACAATAACACCAATTCGTGCCTTTAGACCCACCTCAGGAATTCACAGCTTTGCACACATGCCTTAACTATCCTGGCTCTTGTAAGAATGGCAGCCTGTGTCCATATGGAAATGAAAAATTACGTTGAATTGTGTGAGAAGTTAAATACTTCTGATTCTCATCAAACACATTCGCTTTGTGATGTAAACCCACAGAAAAAGAATGGACACTGGATAAGCTTACTGTCACCTAACCCACACCTAACACATTGATCTACTATCATCAACACTGAAGACGATTGTATTAACTCCAATAAAAACCCTCCAACGCTTTTCTACTTCTGTTTGAAATCCTTACTTACAGAAGCACAAGAATCTGATTACTGCAAATATGTACTATGATTTTCTCAACAGCAAAGGCATTTTCCTCAGCATGGCTGAGGAATTTTTTATCAGTAGGATATTCTACACCTCCAAAACAAGTGGAAGCTGAACTTTCAAGTTTCGAGTTACAGCAACACTGATACATTAGTAAAATTTTACCTCATGTTTATCATTAACTCGAGACAAATATTTGTGTCAGTCTAGAGATCAGGAAACAATTCAGAAACAAAATCCCATAAGGAGTATCTCATCAAGGTTTTTTTCCCTTAAAAAACCAAACTGTGGGAGAGAGGAGCTTCCTGTAAGCTCATCACCAGTGTAAAGGACTGCAGTTTTAGTGGGTTTCTAGCAAGGGTATAATGATTTTAGGAGGGCTAGAGAAGATCTGCCCTCTGAAAATAAAAAGCTGAGGAAGCAGCGAATGATCACTAAACAGACAAACAAAACCATCACGAGAGAAAGGAGCCGAGAACGAAACTCACCCCAAAACAGAGAAGATCCCAGCTTACCTCTTGCCCTTTTTACTGACATCCCTGGGGGAGTCTTTGTGGGAGGAGCGGGAGCGGGAGCTCTCCTTGTGGGAGCGCTCCGAGCGCTCCGACTTGGGCGACGGCGACTTGGCCCGGCGGCTGCCGCTGCTGCGGGACGGGCTGGGGGAAGCGCTGTGCCGCCTCTTCCTGCTCAAAGGGTGCCCACACACACGCACAAACACAGAGGGGGGAAAGGTGGGTTGAGGAATTTATCCCTTTCTGCACAGCTTTGGTTTTGGGGGATGAGCGGGAGGTCTCTTTGTGGGACCGTTCCGAGCGCAAGCGCTCGGAACGGTCCCACAAAGAGATCTCCCGGTCCGGGTGATCATCACCCAGTCCAGGTGATCATCACCCAGTCAGCCACTAGAAATCAGGATAAAAATGACCACTGAGGTTTTTTTCTCTCCCCCATTACCTCTCTTTTCGTGTGGGTGTCGATTCCTCCTTCTCCTTCTTCTCCTTGGACCTGGTCTCGGATTTCTCCTTGTCCTTTTTGTCTCTGTCCCGTTCTCTTTCCATCTCTTTTTCTTTTTCCTGAATGATCAGAGGGCATTCATGATTTCAGGGGAGGTGTGACCGACCATTAAAGACAACTGGAGCACAAACACTAACCACAATGTGAAAGATGTCACCCTGCTTGAAAAAAATCCCAGCCTCTAACTGGAAATGAACATTTCTTCATTTGACAAATTTCAGCTGTAATAAGGTTTTCTAAACTGAATTAAACATGAAAGAATACCAGAAACCTCATATGTGTATTCAACTTCATTAATTCAGACAGAGAACTGAGTTAATCTCATAACTACAAGAGATTTAAAGACCAAACAAAAATACTAACAATGACATCTGATCTGTCAAAACCAACTGTAGTCCAAGTATCCATTTCCATCTATCAACAGGTTCATTTTGAAAGAAAATATATACCCTGAGCACACCTCATCTGTCACGAAGAGAAAATTAATTCTAGAAATAATTAATTATAGAAAAATAAACCTAAACTACCGGCAAGTCTGAACACAAGAGACTGAGAGAAGCTTTTTTTAGCACTGGCATTAAAAAAAAAAAAAAAATGCCTTCCACGGCAAAAAAAACCCCCCAGATATTCCCTGTATACTAAGATAAAGAAGGGGTGATTTAGCTAAATGAAAGAAAGGAGGGAGGGGGGAAAAAAAAAAGAAAGGGAAAAAAAACCAACCAAACAAAAACCAGTAGAAGGAGAGGCACTAACTCAAGTGCAGGAAATACCAGAACAGCTACACTCATCTACTCTCACATCTTTATACAGAAGAACCAATATTACATTACTGTTATAAAAACTAACTTTATTATGGCATTAAAGCAGAAGAAAGTTATTCTCTCAACAACAGGGTTATTATTGTTTTAAAGAGCTATTATAGTTATATTAAATATTTCTTAACTAGATATTACCTTCATAATTGAAAGTGAAAGGGATAATTATTAAAAAGCTGAAATATTGTGAGCTGGCTGAACCACTTCAGCACAAGGCATCTAAAAGTTTATCAGGATTACAATTTCTGCTTGTTTAAGCTACCGTCTCACTAAAAATTCTGTGCTTACTGTATAAACCACTCTTTTTACAGAAAACACCGAGGAAGTGGAAAGCTTTAAGATACAACTACATTTAAAAGGAAAATACTTATAAAAATTCAAGTCTTTACTGCTAACATCCACCTCCAACTTCAGGGGTCAGTTTGCCTAATTTTTACAAACTGCTTCAGTGAATCAGTCAGATATTTAACACCAAATAATGCAAATCCCAAGGGACAAACACTTACTTGTGTTTATCTTCCAAGAAACCCCTGATCTGTCAGGCTGGGAAAGCCACTGCCCCTTCCCCTCCCTCCCTGAACACACTGTCCAAAGAGCTGCTCTGGGGGTTCCTTTGCTGCCTTTCAAAGATCTGAGATCACATGGTATCTTATGGATGATGATGATGATGATTTTTAAAGCCACTGGGACTTCACAGTCCAGAGAGGAATTAGAATCAGTCACATTTGGGTGAGAGTATGATCTGGGATTCTCCAGGAAACTCGGACACTGGAGAATCAGAAACACATATGCTGGACTTAATACCATACTTTATCTACCTTGGGAAGCCTTTAGCACAACAGATCAATTATTTTCATGCAGTAGATCCAGAAATGATCTCTAAGGTTTCTACACACTCTGTGTAGAATGCTACAAAACACTCCAGTGTTTTGATTAAAAAAGGGAGATGATATGGATTCTGCAGAAAGCACTTGGACATTACCATGCAGTTTGACATTACAGTAGCATTTTAAGAACCACCATGTGTTAATGCCACCTTGCATTTGATCAACTCAATAAAAGCCTGTCACAGAATCACAACCAAACAGAAAGAAGAGTTCTTACCCTCTGGAGCAGCTTGTCTCTATAGTGTTCAACCTGCTCCTGAAAACTCTGGCCTGGTTTCTTGGGTCTTTTCCCAGATTCTAACTCATCCTGAAACTTCATCACCTTAAGCTGTGAAAATAATACTGACCATTAGGTTATTGGGCTTATGGTTATCCAGTTAGGCAGGTGGCTGAAAATGAAATTTCTGTGATTTATAATCTGTGTTCTTCGTTCTTTCTGTACAAGTTTGTGCACAGAGACACTTTGGATCAAAGGAACAAACCCACACACTCATCTGCAGGCACCTGCAGCTGTTCACAGACATGGGAACAACTAAAAATAGAGGTCATTTTTTGCTGTTACTCTACTAAATTCTGTCCCCATCGTTAGAGCACTGCACCCTTGTATTTCTTTGGTCATTACCTGGGTTTTTTTTCCTTTCAAAATGAAATCATTTACTGCAGGTGTCAATATATTTGTTCAACTTCTCTCGTCTACTCCAAAGTTCCCTTCAGAAACTGCCTTTTTTTTTCCATTTACCCCTCAATATTAAAATCAAATGACTGACATAATTAGGGCTTCAGGGCTATTTGCAGAGAGTGACTGATTTGAAAGAGCTGATTTTTACTCACATCATACTTTTCCATGTGCTGCCAAGCTTATCAACAACATTCAGTTCAGAAGTGCTAGCAAATGTAACACCACATTTACTGCAGCATCCCAGCAGAGTCACAAAGTTCAGCAAATGCCACAATTTTCCCATGTGTTGTTTTCAGGGGGGTTTTGGGGTTGTTTTTGGGTTTTTTTTTCGGACTACATGCACTAAAACCTTTCTCCAAGTTGATTCACATCACATCTCTTGTCAATCCCTCATCCTGCATTTCCTGCTCCAGTACCAACCTGCAGAGCTATATAGGAGTGGCTTTTCCCAGTGCTCAAGCTTTTATTTTTAGTGAACACAGAGAATTGGTTTCTCTTTAGAAATATTTCATTTTCCCCCACTGAATACACACAGAGGAAAAGAGTTTGCAATTGCACCCATTTTTATTTTCTGAAAGGATATTTATTCTCAATTCCCTAATATGAAATAGGCACAAAATCAAACCTGTCACAGGTGGGGGAAGAAATACACCCACCTGTACAATACCATAAAGAGCATTCTGAAATTGGAGCTGTAAATGCGTCAATGAAGGAAAGCGTCATCTTTCCACACTTCCAAAAACAGGTGAGAAATCACTGTTCTTTGGTGTTACAGGAGAGCCTCTGCTCTTGCTGAGTTCTGGAAAGAATTCCCCCCTCAGAAGGATTAACAGGGGTAGCAGAGAAGGCAAACAAAAGGTTACTAACTTGCTTTCTCTGATGGCACCAGCCTGATTGCTGTGCCAGCGCTTGTTTCTTACTGCACCTTCCCCTCCCAGCTCACAAGCTTCATTTACTGGCTGTGCCAAGAGAAAGAATTCTTCTTTGGATCCATGAATTTCCAAAAAGTGCATGGAAAAAAATAATCTGTTTCAGCTTCCCTGGTAGTCACTGTGTGGATTGTTAGAGAATCAGACTGCCAATATTTTTGCCAAATATTTTACACAACATTTTTTCCAGTGCATATTAGATGGCATAACTGTTAAAGCTGGTAATTGGCTGTTTTTTTCCTCAGTTCCCTCCCTCAGATTTAATAATGGATGTGGGGTTTGGCAAGGATTGGGTACATACTAAGAAGAAACTTGGAGTGTGAATGTTTTAAAGTAGTACAGAGGGTACTTTCCTGTCAGTGACAAACTCGAGGAGAAATCTTAAGTACTCCTACATAGTGTCTGAAATGTTCTGAAAAAGAAAAAAAAATTGCTCTACTCTCCTTTCCTGGCAGTTCTGAGAGTCTGAAACCAAGATGGTAATTTACTTACCAAAAAAAAAAAATTTAAATGCAAACATGTGCTTGAAAAGCTCAAATATTTGCCACCTAAAACTGTTCCTGACAGGATACACTGAGGAAAGAACTTAAATAACTCCAGCAGTGTAAAACTGCCAGTGGTTAAAGTAAATCACTTCCTAATCTGCCTCCACAAGTGGCAGGAAAACATCTCTAAAACAGATGCACAATCTGAGAGGAGCCCTTTCCATAACTGCTGCGATCAATATTACACCACCGTGAAAATGAGTTTCACTTGTACTGTCATTAGTCTAACATCATGTATTTCCTACAAAAACACTGCCACCATGAGTCAGGAATGACATAAATCCCGTTCAGCTCCTCTCCAGTGCAGACTTCACACACTTCATATGGCTACACGTCACAAACTTTCCAACTGCTCTGCAAAGCAAGAGATTTCTACGTGCTTGGTTATGGTCTATTAATTCCAATAAAATCTGAACTACGAAACAGAGACACATTTGAGAGAAACAACAGTTGTGACATTTCAAAATATTCCTGCCTGAGCATCTTAAAAGGACATTACAAGGCTTTGCTAATGCCTGATTTCAGCTGACCAGCACATTATTGGAAAGGGCCAGAGGGGTGGCCCAGAACAACCCCTGCTCACCTCAATCTCCCGGAGCTTGGCACGCTTCTCTTCGCTCATCTCCGAGTATTTCACCGACGACTTGGATTCAGGCATTTCCTCTTTAATGGGATTGGAATACATGTGCTGCTCTTCTGACTTGGAACTCTGAGTGTCTTCCTCATCTTCACTTTCTTCTTCTTGGCTTTATAGGAAACACACAGAATTGAGATGTAACAGAGAATTAAGTATATGTAAAATTTACTGTTTCTCCTACTCAGTTTCTGTGATTAGTTATTAGTTTTGAAATCTGTTAAGTAAGACTAAGTCATGTAATGAGTCTGCATCTGTAAGCCTTAGTATTTTAATTAAGTTGTTAATTTTTATTACTCGCATAATCTGCACTTCTCTCAGGAGCATCTACTTACGAAATTTCATGTTTGTTCTGCTCTTACAATACACATATCTATCCTACAGAGAGTCCCAAAGACACTCAACGCATAAAATGAGTATGTTTTCATCAGAATGAAAAAGTATTTACTTTTGAATTTCCTCCTCCTCAGATTCTTCGTGTTGGTCAAAAAGCTCCCACTTAGAAGTTGTAACAGCTAAAAGAGACAGTAAGATAATTTTAACAACAAAAAACCCCCACCAGTTAATCAGAAAATTAGTATTTGTAGATATAATCAGAACGACAGTGTGGTAAAATTTACTTAATGCACTTAATACAGACTTTCTATTTCACAGAAATATCAAAGCAGCCCAGCAGCAGAATATTTACCACTCACAGAGCTATTCACTCACAATGCACATCATGTTTTGGTAAATCCTTCAAAAGCAGACAAGTATTTGTCAGTCTGTAAAATATTATCTTCCAAACCAAGATCTGAAAAGACTGCCAACCACATACTCTTTTTTTTTTTTTTTTTGCTTTCAATATTTATTCTTAAGGAACTGGAAATTATTCTTAAAGGTTGGTAGGTTATTGAAGTAGAACAACCAAAACAGAAAACAGTATCTCCCTTTTTTGGTTAAAACCTCAGTGAACAGGTTACAGCTGAAAATCCTACTGTGTCAGCACAGATCAGCTGACAATAACCATGACAGAGGTGACATGATGCTTTCAGCAATCAAAACTAACCTTGAGCTTCCAGTTCTGATTCATCCACTGCTTCCCACTTGGAAGGGGCAACTTTAAATATAGGCTCGTTCTTTTTTGAGTCTTCAGTTGTGTCCACTGTGGGAGAAGGAGACAGAGAAAAATCATTTCCAAAGCTCATCAAGAGCTGAAACCAAAAAACACTACTAAGACAACATTCAGAATTAAATACTGAAACAGATTATACCATCTTATTATTTGCTAAGAAAAAAATCCAGGACTTGGAATCTGATGTGTGTGACATCAGAAGACACCTCCTGTGCTCCTGAAGCAATTATGAACAGCAAGCAGTGGGGCAAACTGGAGTTAATCAGCTCAGTGTTTCACAAAGCTACAAGGCCACATCAAGCCTTGGCTGTGTTCGTAAAAACTACTCAAGAAAAAAAGATCAGAGACCGAAGATTCAAACTGAAAGTAAAGTTGAAACATTTCGTACAAGGAACTCCATCAAGGTCATCATCCAGGGATTTAATTGGGACTCCATCCAGATCATCAATGGGAGCAGCATCAATAGGAATTCCATCCACATCTTCCAGTGGAGCACCATCCAGCTCTTCCTCTATGGGAGCACCATCCAGATCATCTGGTACTTCCTAAAAGCAAACAAGAATTAATTATTGCAAGTACAAATCCACATGGTTTTCCTTTAGTTCTTCAATTATCACATCATTCCTTTTTAAAAAAGTACTTTTAAAAATACCACAACCTCAAAAACCTCAACTCTGAAAAGTTCTGCTAACAAGTTTACGGTAGAGGAAATAATACAACAATATCCTCCTTTAAAAATTACAGGCAAGAACTTGGAATTTGTCCAAAATGTACTGGAAGCTTTGCAATATCCACATCTCCTCTGCTAAGAGAAATAAGTTATCCTTCCAGTTATACTGCAGGTCTCCCTCCTGCAGTTCTGTTTCCACAGTTACAACGCCTGAAATTCCACTCAAAATTCAGATTTTAGAGTATTTCCAATACAAAGGAAATACCTGTCACTCTGCACTAGCCTTTGCTCTGAAATGGTTTCACAACACAACTCCACCACAGCACCTAATCCACAAGTAAGGAATTCATAAGCAGATTAAACAGTATTTGCATTTGAAAATGTGTCACACCTGTATTTAAAGGCAAGGACTTGGAGGAAGGAAAGGTTTTCTCCCCTTGCCAGCCCTTCTTTGCATTTACACAGCTCTCCCCCACCACCCCCAAGCATCCCCACTGAGCTCACTCACCTCTGTTTCTTTATCTTCCATGATGTTCACCAGCCCCAGGAAGATGTTCTGCAGTTTGATCAGAAATGGCTCTGGGTAGATTGCCCAGTCCTCCCATGCTCGGAAGCATGTCATGACCCGTTGCTGGAAGCAAGGAGGGGGGGGGGGGAAAGCTAATAAATTTTATTAAGAAATTTGAAGTGAGGGGAAATAGACCCCAGAGAGCTGTTCCTACGCAGTTCCACACTACAGTGCATTACAGTGATCCCACGCTGGGCAAAGACTAGGAATTTTACAAAAACACAAATATAGATATGGGAACTACTTGTTATAAAATCCCACTTGGATCTCATTTTCCCTCTAAATTCCTGTTCCATTATCCATTTCAGCTGTTCACAGTTCTCTCCTGACACTAAGTTTCATTCTGCCCCAATGTTCCAAGCAGGTGCCTCTGCTAAATGTAAGAGAAAACATCTTTCTCTTTATAAAATAAAATAAAATAAAATAATTGAAATCAACCCTGCAATTAAACTGTGTTCCTGCTTTCCCTTTGTTCAGCCTTGAGAAGAGAAGGCTCTGGGGAGCCCTCACTGCCCCTTCAGCACCTACAAGAAAGCTGGAGAGGGACTCTCACAAGGGCCTGTGGGGACAGGACAAGGGGAAATGGCTTTCAACTGAGAGGGGCAGATCAGGTATCAGTAAGAAATTGCTCGGGTGCAGGTGGAGGCACTGCAAAGGTTGTCCAGAGGAGCTGTGGCTGTGCCATCCCTGACAGTGTTCAAGGCCTGGCTGGGGCTCTGGGCAACCTCCTCCAGTGGAAAATGTCCCTGCCCACGGCAGGGGGTTGCAATGAGATGATTTTAAGGCCCCTTCCAACCCAAATAATTCTGTGATTTTTTTGGAGAAGTGAAGCATATTTGAAACGATGGGTTTCAGTTCGAGTTTGGAACATTAAATGTAACTAAAGACGTAGATATAAAAAAACCCCAGTTATCTACTGCCTCTCTTATAATTTAACAAATAGTTTTAAAATAGTTAACAAACTGATTCTCAGTCTAGAGCAATTGAAAGCCCAGAAGGCAGGACAACCAGGATAAAGATTCAATACAACAAAACTAACCACCCTGTCAGCTTTGTATTTGAAGCTTCTGATTGCAAACCAAAGAACAAAGAAGTGCAGAGGCATCCTGGAAACAGGAGAATGAAAGGCAGGCCAAGCATGAGAACCGTGAGAAGCAGAGCTCTTTATCTCAAAAATCACCCCCAACCACCCATGGGCAGATTGGTTATCAGAAATCTAAAAATAAAGCCTAGCACAAAAACTTTTAAAAGTAACTTTATGCTGTTCTGTCCAGGAGTTTCTTTCCACACTGAGCACCCAAGTTTATTCTGAAGTTGAAATATAGCTGGTCCAAAAATAATAACAAAGCCAGAAGGCCCTGTCTGTGATTTAAGTATTAGATAGATACCCTCTCAACTCCACTTAGCATGGAGTTGAGTCCTCAGGTATATCTACCTGAACACTTCAGGGGGAAGATGTTCATTTTCTTCCTTAACTTCAAGGCTATCCTTGCAAAAGAGAAAACCTTTTTTTTTTTTTTTTAAATAAAGCCTAATTAGGAACCTTGATATCTAAGCCACTTATCATAGTATGCAATCTCTTGTGCAGGAACATCTCTATTGATATGACCTCTATGTCATGTAAGTAACAATGAAATACATACCTTGAAATTTTCAGACTGTAAATGGCCTTGTATTGTACGGTAAGTAGCATTGAGATCAGAGAATATCTGACATAATTTTGTTTCAAAACTAGAATTAAACATATACATTTCTTTAGTTAAACTTTGTAATATATGTTTTCTGGACATACAAAATTCATGAAAATACCTGGGACACAGGACTCAAAAGCACAAGGTTCTGATCCCTATTGTAGCCATGAACTGCACTATAAAGCAAATATGATGACTATATATATATATATATATATCAAATCACCTTGGACAACAACAGAACTGTGAAGGGAGATCTTCACATCTGCTGCAGTCTCTTTATACACCCTGGAAAGACTGGAGGACAATAAAAGGACTTTTACAACCTTAAACACGAGGAAAGAATTGTCTCAAAATGCGATTTGGTTTTTGGTTTTTTTTTAAAAATCTTAGTTATGTTTCCATTCCGGTCTCCTCAGTGGAAGCCCAGTGAGCAGCAGCTGCCCTAACTTGCCTTGAGCTTCTCTCAATGTGCAAAAAACAAACCAGCACAGCACAGACACACTGCAACAAAACCATCAAGTGCCATCTCTGGAGCTCTGGGACATGCTGAGTGATTCCCACCACGCTGCCACAGCACAGGAGACACTCCAGGAGGAGGCACAAACATCAAGTAAGACAAAGATACTGTCCCTTGGACATTTTTCCTGAATTCTGCTCAGCACCTTAGAAATAAAGTACATAATCCCCTCATGCCTTCTCCAAAGTTCATGGGGAGTTAAAACCCCCAAACTTTAATAAAAATCAATCAAAACTTTACTTCTTTGCACGAATTCTTTGTTATACACATCTTGAATTTCAGCTATAGGCTGTGTCTGTAAAGAGGCACATGCATCACTCTCACTTTTATGGAGTCCCATGCAAGTGCCCCCTTACACAGGGCATTTACCCCAGTATGCTACAACTTACACATTTTCATGCAAACAGAGCTAAACACCATCAGTCTGTAACAGCAGCAGCATAGAAAAGTGTGAATTTCTCTACAGCCACATTTATCCAGAGATGGACATACAGAGATGAATATAAGACTTTTTTTTTTTTTTTTAACTGCCAATGGCCTAAAATGTTATACTTACAATTTTCTGTAGTAGGAAGCGTTGGCAACTTTAGCTGAAGAGTTGTACAACACATCTGACACCAGATACAACCTTGCAATCTGCAATAAAGCACCTTCCAATTAACTCCAGCTGAAATTACCCTGAGCACACCTGAATGTTTCCAGGAAGGACACAAGACAGCTCTAACTGTCTACAAGTACCTAATTAGAAGGAAGTGCAGCACAGCTATGTTATTAATAAACATGCTAAGAGGAAATTAGCCCCCTGTTATGTTTGAGGGCACTACCCAACATATTAACACAGCATTGCACAGGAGAAACGACAGCATTCCAATTTTAACTGCCTTGTTTGAACACGCTGTTTCCAACCTCACAGTAGGGCAGAGCATCGTTTACAACCAAGTCCAGAAAGAATAAAAACATGCCACAAAATTCCAGGAAAAAAAGCACACTTCAAGCCCACATTTTAATCCAATCCTCAACATCATCTGCAATTTGTGAACTAATGCTTACAAATTACACGCTCGTGCTGCTAAGTGAGCTCTTCCCCCAGAAAACAAGGCTGTGGAAAAGCTACACACCTTCTTAGGAAGAGGAGTCTTGAGAATGGACAGTGATTCTGTAATGCAGTCGACAATCTCTTCAGCAGCTTCTGCATTATTGAGACAGAAAACCATCGCATCACCAATGTCGTTCTTCCGAGGGGTCAATCCACGCAGAATCTCCTCCAGTTTGTCCCTCTGTCTGAAATAACAGGAATTTTAACACTTTCAATATAAAATTAAAGGTGCTTGGGGGCATTTCCATTTAGTAACTCTCTTTTTGAATCTTTCATCTTTAGAAGAAAAGCAACTTTAAGTATTTTTATGTTCCATTAGGTCGATTGTTTCAGTGGCTCATGAATTTATGCATCAACATTACATAAAGAGCAAAAAATTCCCACTCAAGTCTTGACTCCATAGAGAAATCAAGGAAAAATAACTGAGAAATATCTAATGCAACACCTCAGTTTCTCTAATAAGGTAATAATCATTTGGATTTAGTTTAAGCCTAAACCAAACTGGATAAATCTGAAGCATAAAAGTAATTTCTGCTACAGAGTAAGAAACACTAGATTAGACAGCCAGTAATAAACAATTACATCACATTTTCCCCTGACCTCCATATTTAGAGAATATTCCCCAAAAAGTATCATCTTTTTCAGATATATTTCAGAAATAAATTGCGAATTAAAACCTTCAAAACTATGACTGGTACAGACTGGTACAGTAACTATGACAGTTCACTGGTGACAAATCCAACCAAAGATTAGAACGTATTTAGCAACAAGGATGATCAAAACAGACTAAAAGAAAAGCACTGAGTTTACACTAAAACAATACTCTGACAAGTACGACATTTTAGGGATGATATATTAAAAAAACACACAAAAATATACAATATATATATAAAATATACAAAACCCCCTCATATATAAATATACAAAAACCCACAAAAGGAAGAAACAAGCAGACCAGCAACTAAAACATGACTGTAAATGGATGGTTAGCACATACTCTTCCTTGAGTGCCCCCTTCTTGTTGGGTTCCTCCACAAAGGCCTCTGTCTCCTGCTCCTCAGACATGCCGTGCAGGTATGGGTTCAGCGGGGGGGGCCTCCAGAAAGAGCCGTTTTTGAACATTCGGAAATCTTCTGTCCTCCACTTGGTTGGAGCATCTCCCTGCAAAAAAAAAAAAAACCAACAACTCAATTTTTATTCCTGGGCTCTTTTAATTCGCTATGTTTGAGGGTAGGAATCGTCACTGAAATTCTACTTGCCTGAAGAATTGAATAAAGCTTCCACCGATAATAGACATGGGCTGGAGTCTGGTTTTCAAACAAAAACCTAAACCAAGTGGCAAAGAAAAGAGATAAGAACATATTACAATGGAAGCAATAAACCCAAATAAGCATGCCCTGGTCAGAACCCACCCTTAGCCCTCAGGTGAACACCAACACACACCCCCCCAGTCTGCAAAGCAGAGAGCACATTTTTAATGGTCAGGATATTCTGTTTTCTCACTTTATATGTAACAATCCCAGTGAAGCACCACAACCTTTCTGCAAATAAAACATGGCTGAAAGGACATTTTGCATTTCCCTGAAAATGTTTTGGGTTTGTTTTTTTTTTTTTTTCCAGAGGCTGCACTTCACAAGGAAGTGGGAAATTGATCTTTTTTTATTCCTTTAATGGCAAGAGCTGCAAATTCTCACAGCTTCCCTATGTCAAAGGGACACTGCTAAAGGTCAGAAATCAGGCTCCAGGAAGAGCAGACTTCACATGGAGTTAAATCTGGCTGTTTCTGGGGAGATTTTTTTTCTTTTTCCAAAACGTACACACTACTGTTTCTACTGCTGACTAGGAATCCCTGAGTAAAGTATGTGTTAAATGTTATTTTATAGAGAGAGAAATGTATTTTATAGTGTCTGTGTAGCATTTTATTTTTATGTACACATTAGTAACAACTGGAATAAAAGGGGATTCTCCTTTATAAAGGACAGCATAACCATTTGTACAGCTTAAATCTGCACATAAAGATGGTCCCAGTAAAAGCAGCTCTCCTGAGTATTTCAAAAATGCCAGTGACAGCAGAGCTCTCTGTAATTCAGCAATGCAATAAGCACCTGAACATGGGGTTGTTGATCTCTCTGTTCATGATCATGGCTTCGAACATGGGCCCTTCCCGCACCACAAACTCTATCATTCGGTGGATCAAAGCGAGCAAATTCCTACAACAACAACACAGTTAAAGAAAAGTTGATTCAGACCTAACACTAGAGCAAACTACACTCCACCTAAGATACTACAACTCTGCAGGAGATTATTCTGCTGTACTGTTAAGACATCTGTATAAAAGATAAGGTAACATGGCACATGTTGCAGCTTTGCATCACAGACACGGGCAGGCTAAGAATGCAAACACACCTAGCACTGGTGAACTGGAGAGGAGGCCTCTGCCCTGAATTTCCACAGCCTACAACCAGCTCTGGCTTAGCAGGAGCCTGATACGCATAAAAAGGGGTGACTGAACACCAAAGTACCATTAACTAGCAAAAACTAAGCCCTCATCTACGTGGTCTAGAAATAGGATGGAAGGGTGAGCTAAAGTTCTCCAGGGGAACGAGTGGCTGGACATTCTGCTCCAAATAAAACACACATCCCTTTGAATATTCAATAGAAACTGCACTCAGCTTTCAAACTATTCCAGAGTGAGAGCAAAAGCAAACAGCCTTCTTGATGCCAAGCAAGGCAATGCTTTTATTAAATTTAGATAATCTCTTTTTGGCCAAGACTCAACTACTGGCATAGAGCAAAACTGCCCATCGTTTTGTGTCATACCACCCACGTTTCCTCCCTCATACAACCGAGTGAACCAAATCACAATTAAAAAAGAAATAAAAATCTGTATTATTTCATTCAGCCCTACATCCTGAGACAGGCACATTTCTCAAGCCCCACGTGAAAATGAAGAGTCCCTTCTAAGCACGCTGAGAGCAGACACTCAGATAATCTTCATCAAAAATAGTGATAACCAGTTTCCACCCCTTTGGGGTTTTTTGGAAACAGGGTCCTGAATTTTCAAAATAGATTACCTACAAATATCAAAAGCTTCATAGCTCGTGTCCTCTGAATGTGATGCAAACGAAAAAAAAAAATACAGATTTTTACATTTTTTAATTTCTTTTCTTAGATGCAACAAATGGATTTTGGTTCTTTACATGTCTTTAGATTTCCTTTTAGCACTTTTTTAGCTACTGAAGTTCAGCTACACTGAAAGGCTGAAGAATTTTCTATCACTTCTTAGTAACGTGACACTTTTCTACCATGAGTATTCCAAGTTCTGCCACAGATATAATGCACTAGATCAAAAAAAAAATTCAGCTTAAGAACATGGAAACAGAAACCTGTCCCTGCCATCTGCAAACTTAGTAAATGCTGTTTTACACCATCTAGCACTGAATCTACATTTACCTCAAATATTACACACATACACACACACACACAAAAAAATAATCAAACAGCTAAGAGTTCACTTTTGCTGTCTGCATTTTATAACCCCAGAGTCACTGTGGAGAGGACACAGCCTCAACAATCCTGCAGCCATTTTATTTACAGCAGTGCTCTCAAAGCCTCGTGTTGTATGAACTGTATTTGAAAACACCAGGAAGAAACACATCTGCAATCAGCTTTCAAGCCTCTGAGCTTGAAAAAAAAAAAAAAACCTTTATGTTTAAAATACTAAGACGTAAAAAAATGTTAAAAAATGGTATTGACATTTTTTAACTAAAGGGGAATAAACACATTGTCCCCCTGAAGTCAGCTGATGTTTCTGCATGATGTGATGCCCTGTGTAATTGTCATTAGCAGCTCTGAAAGTCATTAGGAAAAGAACAATTCAAAGTATTTTCAAATACAGTTCATTTAATGCGAGTTCTTATCACACTTTATCATATTTTAAAGTGCCACAGTAAATAAAATGGACACATCTTTCTCTCTGCAAGCTGATTACTCTGAGAGCGCTGCACAGTTTCACAAGTACTTGTTCTGTACTCCCTGTGCTTCTCAAATCAAGACTCCTCCTGGTCACACTAATTATTCAAGTCTCTATCCCACAAAACAAAACCTGCCCTGTCCTATAATTTATCCCAAATACTCGTGCATCTGAGCATGGATAAGCATGGTAATGCACCATAACTAGTTCACAACTCTCTTTCTGCCCCCCCCACACACGCAAAAAAAAAAAAAAAAAAAAAAAAAAAAGGTTTTCAGTTATAATAAAACCACATTTATTGGAGCCGATCGTACCAATGTCTGGTCAAAAACTGTATACTTTCCCAATCCATCCCATGATGTTTTCCTGGTCCCCCGCTGCCGCAGACAGTTCAGCTGGTGTTGCTCACCAAGGCCAATGTCAAAGAGAATTTGGTAATCTTTGGTGCTTCTTTAACTTTTAAAACAGTGTCGTGTTCCTATGTCTGGGAAAGGGTTTCAGCTTAACTGAGCAAGGGTATTCCTAGGCTAGAGGGAAGGCAGGAGCAGCGTGGGGGACCAAACTGGAAAAATATATCCTTGAAACAACACAAAACTACCTTTGCAAGGGACCAGAATTATTAACTGTTGCACATTAAAAAATAAAAAAAAATCAAAAGTGATTTTTAATTAACAGGTTAGAAAACATGTAAGTGAAAAAGAGGGGGAAAAAAAAAAATTAAAAAGCCCCCCAGCTGCATCCCAGTCCTCAGAGGTTTATGCCAGGACTTACGTAGTGTCTGCAAGACAAGCTATTTCACCCTCGTGTTCACTCACAAAATTACCCTGCAACTATCTCCAGTGCTCAGATTAAATACAAGAGATAATTACTTAAATCCACCCTCACTAAAAAAAAAAAAAGTTATTCAGAACAGTAAGACTGTAAATCACACCCATTTCTTTCAAGTGTCACAAAGAACCATTGCTCAGTCAAGCCATTACCTTTTCCTCAACATCACCATTTTTTCTTTAAAATTCCGAAGGGGAAATTTTCTATATTTAGATCAGTAATAATAAAGAAAAACATGTACCTTTCTGTTGGGATAACCACTTTGACTATGGCTTGCGACAGAGTCTGTATATGAAGTCACATCAGATAATAAACATAGAATATGTGAGTATTGTTAACAAGTAACAAGCAAAAATATACATATGCAATGAAAATACTACACATCTATCACAAGTTTTGCAGGCAATCACTGCTGTGAAGTTATAACTAAGCAATTACACAAAATGCAAAGGTCGTGTCAGTGAACCGTAAAGGTTCACCAATTGCAAAGTATCAGAACATTCCTGTCAGAATGCACATTGAGGCACTGAATAGGCACTATGCTGAATATAATTAAGAAAGGAGTTTTTAAGTTTATGAGAAAATTCTAAACTATTTGAGACTTGGATCACGTTGGTATTACTTTATTGCCAAGTCTTACAGAAAACAGCCCCTAACATTTAAGTGTCATTCAAAGAATCAATAAATTCTTACAAATGTAAATCAAGTTGGTTTGTGATTACAAGATACTTACCCTTTAATCAGCTAATATTCCAGAAAAAAAAAGTTTGAAAACTGACTCCATAAGTAGCATAAAATACTTACTCAATGTCCAGAATAATTACCTTCTACACAACATACATCAACTCCTCTAGTGCAAAACTAATGCTACCCAAATTAAAAGGCAGGATTTTCTCTAAACAGAACAATTTAGATACTGCAATTTGGCAGCCAACAAAAGGGGGGGACGTAGGAGAAAAAAATCCAGGGAGCCTGGAGGGGGAAAACGATAGGCAGATTTTTAAGCAGCACTAAATTAATCAAGAGCCAATATCCTGTCCCCTAAGACAGCCAGGAATCAGAGCTTCAGGAATTAAAGTAGGTTCCCTTGGGCTACGCAGGGAGCCAGTGGGTTTGCAGATTAAGGGCCGCCAGTCAGGCTGGGCAATGCAAATCTAGGAAGCCATTGCAATACTGTCACAGATGTAACAATGACATATGGCCCAGGGTGCTGGAAGTTACCTTCTCAAAGTCCTCCTTGTTTTTTGGGGGTGGTAACATTGGAGCGTTGGGGTTCTTCAACCTCTCCCTGGGCTGGGCGTTAAAAGGCAGTCCTGACGGGGGAGGAGGGAGGGTGTGCTCCATCATGGAAGGCGGAATGTAGATGGGATGTGGTGGAATAGGTACAGCTTTGCCCCAGCCCAGCTTCATCTCAAACGACATGATCATCTTGCCTGAAATAAAACAAACCCTTCACGTTATAAACTGGTTCTGCATCGCTCCAGGTTTCTCCATCAGGTGCAGCATTTAGGTTTGCCTGCCATGGTTTACCTTTGCCTTACATCTTTGATGACTGTATCACATCTAGCACGCTACAGCATGTGCAAGGACATGAAATGTTTTATTCATCTTCCCCCAGTGTGTGTCTTCAGGACACTCCAATACACTGTTACTCTGGTCTGACAACACTCAGCTGCCAGTAAAACACACAGTGTAAGCTGAAGTCACTGCCAGCCTGGGATCTACTGCAGTTACAGAATATATCACTAGTCTGATAAAACAATCTGAAAATGTGCTTCCAGTTCCCCCTCCATATTCGTACAAAGATTATCACACAGCTCCAACTGAGAAATCCATTTACCATTTAAATTCTTCAACGCTCTTTCAGCATCTCTCCTGTTCATAAAGGCAACGAAGCCACAATTTCTTTCTCTTGCTCTTTCTTCATCTGTTCTTGGCCACATAATTTTAACACTCGCTAATGGTCCAAAGCGTCCAAATTCCTGACATAACATCTCTTCATTCATCTACATGAGAAAAGGTAAAAAAATGGCATCTTGCGACTTTATTTCTGGGACATTTCTTCATATTATTGTCCAAATGTTGAGAGTTTAATTTTTTCAGTTTCTTGAACAACACTTCACTGATACCTCCCCAATGCAATCTCCTGTAAACATAACAATTTAAATACTGCATTTTTAACTGAGAGCACTCAGATTTCTGAGATACAATCCACCTGGCTTGGAGATACCCAGGGAAACATAATTTTAACTGAGCTAGTGATTGGTAAGCTACACCTTAACTTTTGCAGCGATACGTGCAGAGCATTTATTCCAATAAATACTGCAAAAAGACTGGCCTGGACCCAAACGTGCCAGCACTGCACTCCCTGGCTCCAAACTCACCTGTGGATTAATGTTGCCAAGATATAAATTTGTTGTGCTTGGATCTCCAACATCATGGGAACCTGGTGCATAATCATCCAGGACTGAAATGATGGAGAAAAAAAAAAAAAAAAGAAAAAAAAGAAGTCATAATCCCTGCTATGCATTTAAATGACAACATTAAATTGAGTAAGAAAAGAATCTGTATTACCACCAGACGATCTGTTTCTTCTTGAAGGAGCATCCACTGAATAAAAGGAAGAAAAAGATGTACCATTTAGTCTACAAATTTTGTAGCCCCAACTAACACCAAAAATACCATCCACTTACTTGAGCGACGCTGCCCATCTGAATCAGACTGGGGTGGTTCAAAACGACTCAATCTACCTTTTGTTTTGTGCCTCTCATCACGCTCCTCTTGTATTCTGCAAAACAAGTCGGACATAAGGAACAACTCAAAACCATTCTGAAGTTTTTATTCTAAAATTTTGATTTAAACTGTTTTAAAATTATGAGAATTCTTAATATTGAACTCAGGCTTGCTAAAAAATTTCAGATTGCCAGTGTGTTTGAACTTCTGTTCCATCAGCTGGAATGCTCATTCACACTGTCAGGGTATTTCACCCTCAAACAGAATTGACTTGGTTGGAGAAGCAGTTCGCAAGACCAGAATAAGAACTGTGCTCTGAAAAAGTGACTGCAGTTCCACATGCAGCTGTCAGAGATCTGCCCACTGAGATGACTCTTGGAGATGCACACAACTCTTCAGTGCCTCGTCCTCCTTCTACCTTTCCTAAGGCCACATCCACGGGCACACACAAATGTCTTCTCCCAGAACACACAGGAGTTTGTTTCAGTTTAGAACCTGAGGACAGTACTCAATTAAGTGACCATTTGGTTCTCCTGATAGGAAGGTTTTGTACCCCAGGAATACAAGGCTGTACTGGTTTTGGGGGGCAGGTTTTGCTGCTGGGGGGTCACAGGGGTGGCCTCTGGGAGGACCTGGGAGAAGCTTCCCCTGTGTCTGACAAAGCCAAGCCCAGGCAGCTCCAAGCCAGACCCAGTCAAGGCCAAGCCCATCAGCAATGAGAGTAATTAAGTGTTAATGAAGTTATTTCACAAGTACTTGGGGGGAAAACAAAATAAAAACCTTCAGCAAACAGCTTTGCACGAATGATCCCAAATACTGCCTGTAAAACAAGGCAAAAACCTTGTTTATTTACAGTAAACCTTCTTTATTGACAGTAAAAACCAGCCAAACTTACTGCTTTAATTCCTCTTTAAAAAGTTCCAAATTGCTCTTTTTCTTTTCCTTCTCTCCTTTCTTCAGCGGCTAAAATTAAAGATATATAAGACAACATTTCAGAGGACAAAGTGAACAAAATTAAAAAACATAAGCATATAACAAAACTTTAGATAATTTCCATGCATATTTTACCCACAGCTTTCAAACCAAGTAAACTACAGGAGGAAAAAAAAAAAAAAAAGAAAAAAAACCCAAAACAAAACACCAACCAAACAGACTTGAAAACATTCAGACCGAGTGCTATCAAACACAAAGCTAGAAAATATATAAAAAAAAAAAAAGTTTAAACTAAACTGTGTTACTTCTCATTCTTACAATGCAGCATGTGTGATCAAACATCCAAATTTAAAATAACTGAGGTATTCTGTCAGTTTGTTCTGCTTGGAAACTAAGATGCTGACTAGGCCCCTGGCAATCTGTCTTGCTCTAACTGATCTGAGAGATGTGTGGACATATATATGTAAATTATTTTACATATATATATATTCCATTATTTTATCCACAAACATTCTATTGGAAAAAAAAAATGTCCTCCTCTCGCTTCCTTTTGGATGGAAACACAGTGTGAATAAACAGTTACTCTAAATGGTTCAAGATGATCCTCAGGAAAAACTCCTGGATGACAAATAATATGGATACTGCACTGCTGCTTTTCTCTAACAGAAATACATGTTCCTCAACTAACTCACGTGAAATTTGACCTTCAACAACATCGCTCTCAAAAAACCAAATTGAAATGAAAACGTTTCCAATAGGCAGACATACAAAATATTTATTGTGTTACACACTACATCTTTGGAAAAACTGGACTTCCTACTCACCCCAGGCAAAGCTGTTTGTTTGTTTTTGTTTTTGGGGAGGGTCTGCCAAATAAATAAAATCATTTTTACCTCATTATCTTCAATCACCATTGGACAGGGCAAGTGAGTAAACTGATTGCATTACTTTCATAAGTATTTATGACAAATTGGAAAAGCAGTAATATTCTTACAGTACAAACACTTGCATATGACAGAACAGAGCTCGGCATAATAAAAAATTTCATTTCTGTAACTGTAGAGCTTTACATAACAATGAAAATCAAACCTGCCATCCAGTATTACCCCACTAGTCTAGAACTGAGAGTTGTTTAAAGCTGGAAGGAGGTTGGGATGAAACTGCCCCCAATTATCACATTACATCTCATTTCCCACCCTAACAGGCAGCACGGTACATGTTTCACTTCTTAAGCTTTCCAATTGTAGTAAGCTCTATTAAAAGACTTTTAAGACATCCAGGACACTCATTACACATATACAATAGTAACAGTAAGCATATGTAATCATCACTTGACTTGAAGACCATGTTTATTCGTAATATTTCCATTACTTTTTATGATGAAATCTTTGTTTACCAAAAAAACCTCACAACTACCAAGCCATTCAGAAGACGAAATAAAAACAAAGTGTTCAGCTTCAAAACTGTGCAAATTCTACAGTTTATTTGTACAACTCGAAGAGGGACTTCTAAAGGGACTTCTCAAATTTCCCCACCAAAAAAAAAAAAAAAAAATCAAAGAATCTCATCAAGCAAACCTGGGATTAATGCAAAGGCCAAATTACTTTTTGGGTTTAAGTTAAAAAAAAAAAAAAAAACTAAAAGCAGATGGCAGCAAGAGCTGCTTCTGAAACTTCAGAGCCGCTCAGGACTGAGGCTGCTGTTCCTTCCAACACCCAGGAGAGGTGTGGCCCTGGGAACAGGAGCAGGTGGAGCAGCCAGACAGGGCATCCTGCTGGCCACAGCGCTCCTGGGCCCTGCCCTTCACCTCCCTGCCATCTGCCCTGGCATCAGCACCTGCCCTCAGTGTGGCATCAGAGCAGATAAAGCTGCTCTGCCAGGTCACCCAGCCCTTTTCCTAAGCACTTCCAGGTATTTCAGTGTGGGAGGGGAATATTCAAGGGAGACACTTACAGGCTTTTTGGTTTCGATCATCAGGAGGGACGGAGGTTTCTCGTTGGAGGGCTGACTTGGCTGGTTTTTCTGATCTGAAAATCGGGACGAGGGCTTATAGATTTTACCCCGTTTTTCATCTGTTTCGTGCTCCTCTGGAATGAAAGGCAAATTAAAAGCACATTTTATTAACTAATGCTGCACAGCACTGTTCAGCAGAAAGAACACTGCTCTTTAGTCTTGGCCATTCAATTCAGTACATAATTTTATTTAAAAAAGAGAGAATATGAACTTTACGTAATTTAACATCTTTTAATATGAAGAAAAAGAACAAAGAATGGGTATTTTAAAACAAAGCATTTTTCCTCTTAATTTAAAAGACAAGTCACACCCCTGCCCACCTAAGTGAGTCAAAGCACAGAGTAGATTTTAGCATGAAGTTTTCTTTTCTGCTTCTGACGTAACACACCGATTTGAAAATGCAACTCAAAGCCAATCTCCATCTCCACTCAAAGGCAGATGACCCACCACTCCCCCAAAAAAGATTAGTTATACCTTTTGATGCATTAACGATTCCTCCTCTTACAAATGTTTTCACTTTCCCACCATCACCTCCTTCGAAGGCAGCCAGGAATTCTTCATAAATTTCTGCAGCAGCCTTCTCATCCTCCTACACAGCAAATGTTCATCTATTTACTATCAGTGCAGGACAGCCTTCACTACACAGTTACTCTTAAATTAGCTGTGTGACAATCCTTTTTATTTTCTAGAGTTCAAGCTACAAACTGCATCAGAGAGCAAATGAAGAACAGAGAATTATTTAAGGTGATGGCTGTCCCCATTTCTGAGCAATAGAACCATCAGAAGATTACTGTAATTCCTATTTCAGGACGCCAGAGAACTTGATTTCTCACACAGAAGGAAAGAGTAAGCCTCTCTCTATCTTAATGCCACGGATACCAGAAACAAATTAAACATGGAAAATACAATTAACAAAAAATACAGTTAACAAAATAAAGGTATAAATTACCTTCTTTTTCAATTCTTCTTGTTCCTTCTTGCTCAGAGTCCTTTTGGCAGCACTCATCTTGCCAATGCTGAAGGCTTTAAGTTTACTTTCCATTAGAGGCTGCAAAAGGAGTTAGAAAACAGACATTGAACTGTTTACAAAACAATTAAAATAATGTTGACCTCGGTCTGGACCAGTAACTTAAACGAAACAAAGAAAAGGCTTCCTGTGCTTATCTCTGAAGTTGTCAGCCTAATAAAACTAAAAACAATTTAATCTGCGTGGGTTCTTTTAAACAAACAATCCTAGGTTTAATGAGGAAGCTTTTGATACCTCTATTCAAACACAGCTGAAGTCTGAAGGGCACTTGCTGTAAGAACCTGGAGATCTCACCCCTAAGCACTGCAGTTTATAAACCTTCAGAAACACAGGCTTTGCACCACAGTTCCCTTTTGATCACTGCAGTCTCCAAAAAACAAAACCAGAAAGCCAATTAAAAAAAAAAGAAAAGTTCTAAAAGCTTTTGTGCCCATTTTGGCCAGAATAATGTATGTGCAAGGCTGAACAGGTGTGAGGGAACAACAAACCCGATGCCAAAATTCACTTGGACGTCAAGGTAAAATGTAACAGCTTTGCTTGAAGAAGAAAAATGCATTCTAGAGGTTTTCAGCTACTAGTTAAATAAAACAAAAGACCTCCCCTTCAACTCCTAAATTCTTTTGAATTTTTTTCCAAAACCCCGATGAAGGAGCACTCCATGTGACAGTAATTTCTGGAGAACAGAATCAAAATTCTTCAGATTTTATTCAAGTAGTTAACAGGCTGTAAAGTGTCAAGAGAAGAACAACAGCAGGATGAAAAGCATGTTCCAAAGACATGGGCAATGGGAAGTAAAAACAGAGAGATGATAAGAAACTTCTCTGGAAATTCCAAGCTTACCACAGCAATTCACGAAGAACAGGCACAAGAACAAAGCCCCACGAGAGCAAAATATAAGCCTTATCTTCCAAACATCTGTGGAGCTCTTCCACAGTGCACAGTGAGGCTTAAAATTACCCTCTTTGCAATGACAGGTCTTCAAAAAAAACCCAGCCCAATAAAACATCAAGACAGATCAGGTGAGCAGCTCAACTGTCGTATTATGAACAAATTTCTGACACCAACTGCAAAGAGTTCCCTCGAGGAACAACTTTCTTTGTAAGGAGCGTTGTTTCCAGTATCAGCTTCCTGGTGGAAATTTTTTTTACATTAAAAAAAAGCACAATGAAAACCAAACTGAAATATCTCCATTTTATAATCCTTGCTTGGTATCACCAACACCTCTCAGATCTCTGCCAAGCATAGGACCAAACAGCTCCCATTTCTCTGAGAAGTGTTCCCTGTTTCATCACCAAAAGCTATCACAAGTGACTGCAGCCCTGTTTGTGAAGTTATCTGGTTTGGGACATCATGTTTGTCAACATGAGCTGCTCAGACAGTTTCATCAGAAGCTTTGAAAGCATCGGTGTGGTTTCAAATTTAATAAAACCAAGTTTTCCAGCAGCCTGAGAAACAGCTTATATTGCAGCGTGACAAACAACAGACAACCCTGGCAATGGTGGGCACAGTGCTGTGGCACAGCACTGCCACAGGACAGACACCACGCTGCCACCCAAGGCTTGTCCTGGCATCAGGAATAATCTATCATTACAGGATACCTGCAGATCAGCCACGTCAATGTTCCAGTGACACAAGGGGAGCAGCTGTGAGATAGAAGAGTTTTGGCAGGAACATCCCCTCAGTTTTGAAAGCGTCTCAGGGATGAAAAGCAAATCAAGCCCTTGGAAGTGGCAGGAGCAGTACAAAGCTAACAGGACTGAACTAATTTACGCCAGCCAGTTAGATTCCAGCAGGCGACTGTAACATTATTAGTGCCCACAGGCAGCCCCACAGAACTCCTAACAGAACTACACAAAACTTGAAGGCCTTCCTCCTTCAGAAAATGGAAAATACCAAGGGAAGGGTAAAGCAAATGACAGAAGCAACGAAACAAGTTGCAGCTGAGTCATCAAATCTCTGTATGACAGCAAACTCCTCAAACAGAACACTGCACTGACTGTGAGGTGGCACAAAGTACTGAAGTCCCAGTTCCTTCAACAACATAAAACATTCAAAAGAGATTTTAGGGTAATTTTCCAAACTGTAGCAAGTAAAGCAAATCAATAAAACGACCTACTTCTTTAGGAAAAGTGTCTGCTCTCACCACTTGAACAATGCTATCTTACAGGCAATTTAACAGCTGCTAATTGACTTTTGCATATACAAAAATCTTGAAATCTTGAAGAAAATCCAAACCACAGAATGAATTGTCTGGTATTAACTCTCTGTTTGGCTCTTCCTGCCTGTTTCCACTTTAGCTCAGAAACAGATGGGTCTTCATGCAAAATAACAACCCCACAAGCAGGCAAAGGTCTCTCCACCCAGGGGCAGAGGGGCAGAGGGTGGGGTGGCCAGTGAGACCAGGGAATTCCTCTAACCTTCTGCTCTGAGTGTATTCCATCAGAAAGCAAACTAAAGGATGGAATTAGGGCCACACTAACTCACCCCTGAGAAGCCAAATGTTTGTAAAAAGGCTCTTCAGTACCCTGACTCTTACACTGATCACCTCTTATTTTCAGCTATTCCTCAGTGGAAGACACAAACCTACAGAGAGTCCTTGCAGCCCCCTCCTGTCCAAGGATCTGTTGGGAATGCAGCACAGCTTCCTACACTGCTGGCTGCTTGGGAAGTTTCAGGGAGTATTTTTAACCATGAAAATCAGTGGTTCATTTGCAAACACCTCCAGGTTACACAGCCCATGCAGCAGGCTCTGCCTGCACCAAGGGCTTTGCTTTCAAAACTGGCCTGTTTTGGGTTGGTGGGTTTCACTGCAATTTTGGGGGGTGGTTTTCTGTTTGGTTGGTTTCAGGTGTTTTGGACTTACATGTGAATCAGCAGATCCAGTGGTGTGTACTGCATCTGGCCCTCTGCCCTGAAGAGAGAACGAAGAGCAGGTGAGGCACAGAACAAGCGACAGACAACCAACCTCAGGGCTTTTTCATCCACTTCTTCGAGTGTGATTTTCATTTCAGTGTTAGCATCCAAATGCACAAGAACTAAGATACATTTAATGTATTTTAATGATATATCTGAACATGTCACATCAGGAGCAATGTCAATGTAAGGTAAATAAGGGATTAAAAAGACAGACTGTTCTTGTTACCACTAAAAGCATCTAAATTTCCACAGCTGGATTTTATAAACACACCACTGTAAGGAAAAAAAAGGTTTAGTTACATTGCATCTGCAAGGGTTGCCACTAAAGGCTGTTAGAGATTACATCAAGTGCTTGATTACTTTTGGCTTTCTATAAAATAATTTCCAAACTGATTTTAGTATATTGTGTACAGATGGAAGCTGGCCACCTTAGGAACACTAATCTAAGCCCAATTTGCAAGTGTGTACTAATTGACATTATTGCTTTAAACTGTGAACCAGCACATACACAAAATCAGGTTTTTAAAGGAGCTTAACTGACGGAGAACACACTTTTAAATTATGTAATGCCCAAATCCCAGAAAACCTCACTGATGTAACGTCTACTATTAACACAGTACTGCCTGGAGCACAATTCCTATCTCAACTGAATTTTAAGTCAAAATAAAAGATTTCCACTAGCTGAAATCTGTTTCTCATTTACAGAACATCAGCACTTCTCCTTATTACCAGGAATTCATAGTTTCTACAGCAATCTGTTATGCACAGTTCTACTTATGGAGCTCAAGCAAACCTGTCCTCTCCCAAGAGTTTATGAATGTACAGCCCAACATCACACAGAGAAAAGACCCCGTGCAAAGGAGTTTCAGAGCATTCCTCCTGCTGCCACCCTGCGGCAACAACGCTGCAGCTACAATTCACCTTTACAGGAACAGTTTCAGACCTGCAGGTAAAAATCCCAGGCCCAAAGGAGGAGTGACACGATGCTGGGTCTGCCTCAGTGCACTGATAGAATGCAGACCCAGCACTGCTCGGGGAAAGGAGGTTGTTTGGCAACAGCACAATTGAAGGACCAATTCCCAATTCTCCACATCTGCTTCATTTACAGATGTTTTGGAAAGCAACACCTCCCAACAGAGGTGGGGGCTGAAGCTGCTTACAGGGAGGGCAACAGGCAAGGCACCACCCACAGGACAAAGATGATCAACGCTCAGAACAGTGGCACAATTCCTGAGGGAGAACATGGAAAAAAGGAACGAACATCGACTCTGCTTTTTCAGCAACAAGCAGATGATGCCACTCAGAATCCACTCAGCACAGAGATTCTGCAGGAAAGCAGGCCAAGGATAAAAAAGGATCGAAGTCACTGGGAGTACAGCAGTGCTCCCCAAGCCACCAGCAGGGACCAGGGCACTGTGCAGCCACTCCAAACGTCAGCCGAGCAGCAGAACTAAGGTGCACTCATAAAACTTCTAAAAGCCATTTTAGCTTTCACACCAACTTTATCCCACAGCAATTAGCAGCTTTGGAGAGCCACATTATTCTCCTCCTTCAACAGTTCTTATTTTTCAAGTCTTCTCTTCCCATCTCTAAATTTAGTTCTGCCTTTGACACTGCTGCTGACCGTCCCAGCAACTGCACTGACAAAGCACAAGATGACAAGATTCTTGACAAAATTACAAGTTGCTATCTGCCAGTTTCTAAAGAGCAGTTATTAAAAAAAAACCCACAGATTCTCACAGCACTGCATTTAGTATCCATGTGCACCCTTGAGGAAAGGGATGGTTTTGTTTCCCTAAGGGTTCCAGCAGCTGCTCTGACTCAGCGGGGTCAGTGCCTTCCCAACACTCACCAAGAGGAGCATTTCAGATGACGCTGCCCACCTGTGCTGAAATCTGCAATGGGATTACTTTTCTTGTTCTCATCTGTTAAGTAGCTCAGTGAAATTTAACTGTTGAAAGAAAAATACCCAAATTTCTGTGCTGCACCTGATGAGATGTGAGCACAGCTCCTCCAGGTTCAAAACACCGACACAAGAGGGTGGCGACTCCATCTTTCGGTCACTGCCACCACAAACAACTGGCAAAAGTCTCACTCCCACTTCACTGCATCTCCCACTTGGCATGAAACCTAGCCTTACTTCTTTTTTCCCTAAACCAGACTATTTTACAGCTGGATCACTTTTCCCATCACTTTCACTCTGCAGGTTTCCCCAAGACTTGTGCCATTTCCCAGCTGGCAGTGCCTCTGCAGGAACACACAGCCCTGTCCAACTCCAGGCCTGCAGCTCCACTCCTCAGCCCAGCCAACTTCCCTCAACCTCCAAGAGAAAAAAAATCTTCAAAGGACAACAGAAATGAGATTTATGATGAACTCTCATGAAAATGCCAAAGCAGAGTCTTCTCTCAGATTCTGATGTTTGTATTTTCTTCCAGCTCCATGGAAGCTTCCAAAAAAAAAACCAGAGAACTGCTCTCCCCAATCTTCCTTCCTGCCCACAGCTCACATGGCCACAAATCCAGCTCTTTATAGTTTTCCCAACCTTAACAACCTCTTGGTAAAGCTGGCATGATCCTGTCATTACACAGATATTTAAAACATGCTGTATACAATAAATATTTTTAATTAATTAATACTGATGTCATTTGGCGCACAAAAGCTGTCAATAAAACCTCAGTGTGCGGTCTTCCAAATGCTGAGTGGTATTTTTGCAACTGTAATGGCTATAACTTCAATGGCCATTATATATGACTTAATATAACTTAATATAACTTAAAAGCCCCTCCTTGCAAGAAGCAAGAGCTTCAGGGTAGAGTTTTTCTAAGAAGTGGTGTCAGACACTCCTGCCCTGTTCCAACACCTTCCCCTGCTCCTGCCCCATCCTGGGCAGCTGCTCCCACTGAACTGGATCCCTGCTCCAAGGGGATTATTTCTTCTGCACAGGGCAACCAATCTGAACAGCACTAGATATAAGAGCAGTGGACATGAAATACGGCTTCTGTTCTCAGAAGATAAAATAAGAAAATGGAAGCGTCATTGAGCAGCTGAAATGTCATTATACAAAGATAATAACTGAACACAATCTGTATGTGTCATTTCAAAACCCTGTCCTGCACTGCCATTCTGTGCAGCCTTCAGCAATCTCTATTTTCTCTCTCATCGTTCTCCCTCCCTATTTAGAGCTCTGGAACTCTCGAGTTGGTATCTTGCTATTCTGAGCTCCAAGTGCCACAGGAAGAGGATGCTTTTGTAGCATATTTCCCACTGGAGACTCTCCAGCTCACTGAGCAGCTGACAGGGTCACACAAGGCAGCTGCCACCACAGCCACACGGGCACAGGGGGCTGCTGAACCTGCACCCCCTCCAGGGATGGTTTGCAAACAGGGAATCAAACAGGTAATGCCTGACTGCGAGAAACAGCTCGATTTTACACTGTAAATCAAAGTAACTGGCTCAAATTCAGGGCCTGGGCACTAAGAGTGAAGAACAAACACCACTGTTCTGAAGGG